GTGAGTACCCAACCTAAGCAACTTCCTCCCAGTGGAGGTGACCAGGGCTCTAACATTCTGTTCTCTTGCAGCAATGTCATATACATTTTTAGTTTTGGAAAACTGAACAACTTTGTAGAAATTGAGACTTGGTGTTAAGAACCCAAACAGTCTTTCATACACTCTAGCATAGTGGCAAATAAAACAATGGAGCGAGTAGTCTCTTCTGAAGATAAACTGTTAAACCTTTGCTAAGAGAAGAATGTATGGGATGGTAGAAATTGTTCCCAGTCACAGTATATACTAATCTTCATCCATCTCTGTGAAATTTCATGTAAATAAGCTTCACAGGTGAGAATTCATCAGATTCTTCCTCTCTTAGTTTTGCTGAAGCAGATTCTGCATGTGGTTTTGGGGATTTAACTAGTCCAGAAGCAGGCTCTAACCTCTGACATCTTTCCCAATATCTCAGCAAGGTCTACCCTCTGGGGTCTGCATTTTACTTCACAGCTCTTTAGGAGCATAAGGTATGTGCACGGCAAACATGGAAAATCAATGACTTTGCGTGAAGATCTAAATATGTTGCTTCTGCTCAATAAATTTTCAGCTGTCTTGCTGTTTCAGTTTTCTCACCTCTCTGAGACAGATCTGTGGACTAGGGCTGCAGTATGGGGATGTTCAGAAACATGGCTCAGCAGTTACAGCTTCTTATATAAACTGGGAAGTTCTTTGAAGATCACAGTGCTTCATCTGACTTTATTATTTTCACAAACATTCTGTGTCCCTCTTGAAAAAAAACTGTTGACCTTCTCCTGTTCCCTTTTCCCATCAACAGCTTCTACTTTCTCAGTGACCTTCTCAAGTTTGTAGATCTATTCACTGATACTAGCCTCTGTTCTGCCAGGTTTGCATAGTTAAGACTGACAAATACCTATTTTACGTCTGTAAAGAGTATGTTCGTTGTCTCACTTGAAAAAAGGTTGATTTCATACAGAAATACTGTTGGCCAGTGGCACAGAAATTCTCTTGCTAGCAGTGCTGTGATTAGAACCCCAMTTTTCTGGTGAGATAGATTCCCCAGCTCACCAGAGAAAGCCTCATCTTCACCAGCTGAGACTCAGRTAATCATCTCACCCTACTGCTTGAAAAACACATATATAAGGAATGAGCTTAAACCCACTCTTCAAATTTCTAATGCATCATTGCCTTATGTGAAGTAGTTTCTAATACAGACTTTGCATGGAAGGGATTTCACTTCTCACTTGGAAAAGCCCATTAATGTAAGGTTTTTATGAGTTAACAAACATTAGCTGCTGAGAAAAGGCAGTGAACATAAAACCAAAAGTGAACTCAGTAGTCATTTAAAGTCAGCTTGTAACAATATTTGCACAGTGCACTTACCTGTTTCAGCTGGATTTTACCATATGGCTGCATATTGAGTTTGAGTGAAATATTGCCAAGCACTGACTATAAAAAAGTACTTCAAAGCACACTTGACAATAGGCTAAGGAAAACCAGGATTGTTGAAACAGATGATAGTAATGATCTGAGGCTATGCTTTCAGGCCACATGTTCATCAGAGTATAAGAAAAGCCCGATAGTTACAAAAGATGTGGAAGTTAATAGAAACAGCAAGTTTACAGTAGAAGGTCGTTTTGGGTTAGAAGGGACTTTTGAGGTCATTTGGTTGATCCCCATCCCTACAGAAAGAGAAGACAAACTTGAAATTAGGCTTATTCCTGTAACAGTGAGTCTTTACAGAGGTGGTTTGTAAAACCTTCCTCTGTCACTATTTTGTGAAGTAGATTGTGATATCAGTTTTGGTGGTAAGCAGTATGGTTCTGTCAGATGAAAGAAGAAATCCTGTAAGAAAAAATGACTGCAGTATTTCTTAAGAAAGAATAGGGGGTTTTTGACATCCAAAATTCTAAAAGGCATTTCCAATTGCTCGCATGGTCAGAACTAGCTGGTGGTTTTCTAGTGTGCAGACTTAAGTCTTGTAAGGCATTTCAGCTGGCTATTAGAAATACCTCTTCCACTTCAGTCTTTTCCCAGAGATATTAACCTTCTTGATGTTAACTGCTGCTTTCAGACATGTCTGCACTGATGTGAATCAAGAAATTGGAAAGGGTTTAAACTGATGTTGGGTCGAAAGTGAACTCGGTACATAACAGGTAATCTTGTTCTACTTTATGTTCTTAATCACGGACCAAAGTGCAGCTCACAGCTACTAAAAACATTGTATTTGTAGAAAAGCTGAAATAAACCTACTATAAACCCTTAAAATGTCTGGTTAGACAACAGCGGTGAGGAATGAACAGGAGGACTGATCACCCTATTTGCCAGTCTCTTCTGTGCTAAAATGGCATGTACCTCACTCATACATAGTAAAGCAAGTCAGTGGATTGAAAAAGTAGGTTTCCTTAGCCATACCAGAAAAATTAAATACTTAAACTTTTTCTCTGCTTGCTTGTGAAAAATGGTCGTCATTAAGGTTCAGTGAGCTGTGTTTTGGATGACTAAACTGCCAAGTAGATTCTTTGCAAGTGTTTTCACGCAAACRTACCAACTTCAATTGAATCCATACTTTTATCTGGTACACTGACATGCTATTGCTTATAACAGGCACGTAGTTGAGACAAATGTATGGGTATGAATAGAGGCAGTACATATCAGAAAGGGTATTCTCTATGCCACCCTAAAATGCCAGGTGAGAGTACAAGTAAGTTTTAAAGTCAAACCCTAAGGGCACCTAATAATTTTATGGTCTAACAACATCAACTCTTGACTCACTGTAAAGTTCAAAACTATAAAAAAAATCAAACAAAAAGACAACAACAACACCAAACAAACAACCCCCCCAACAGCCTAAATTAAAAAACAAACAAACAAACAAAACAAAAAAAAAACTCCAACCAACTAAAGAAACCCAAACAAAACAAACCAAACAAACAAACAGAACACAAATCCTTCAAAGATTTTACAGGCAGCCCATCTGTGTGTGAGAACTTGCTCCAGCTGTTTGGAGACAACAGCGTGTAAAACACTAAGCGAAGCAGAAAGAACAGAGACTCATTGTATCACACGCATATCATATGCTCAATGGGTTACAGTAAAAAGCAAGTCATGCATGAATTCGTAGATATATATATAGACTGGCCAAGCTGCTGACAAGCTAACTTTCACATACTCAGATGTGACAGCCAGCTTCATAAGCATCCAGAAAGAGCTGAAAATAGAAAATAGAAAATATACATTTCTAGGTATTCTAATGGCTATTACAGTCAACAATGCTATCGTTCTGTTCATGATGAAATGGGGTGGGTATGGAATGGGAGTGTTGTGGAAAGCTGAGCTGCCTCTGCCTAGGGATGCCAGGTGAAACCTTTCAGTGTACAACCCATTAAGAGGGAAACRCTTACCCATTAAGAGGGTAGTGTTTGCCGTGCTGTAAAATGGGCAGGAAATGCTAACCACAGTTGTTCTTTGCTGCCCACACCAAGGCAACATTTACTGAACAGTAGAAGATCATGTAAGGATGACTTCCATTTCATTTTCAGGAATGATGATAATCACCACAATCTAATTGCAAAGACTGTGTTGTATCATTTATGTTCATCCACATAAATTCAGTTTTAATTACTCCCATTTCAAAATTAAAATGGAAAAAATAATTAGAAAAATGCAAAATTCATTCTTTCCAGGAACATAGTAGGTTAGATTTTCACCATTGCTGACACAATGGATCACAGTTCCCAGTAGAGTACAAATCTGGAACAGGGAGAAATTGCTTGGCCTTATGCACTGACCCTTATATATTGCTAAATGGTGCAAGCCAGGGCACTTCCAAGCTGCTATTCCATCTTAAGCAAAGCAATGCTTCAGGAAACTGCCTCTGATTCTCTGACATCTGCCTAATTTGCCATGTCAGCTGGGACATAAGACACCTCAAGCCTAGGGCAGCTTTGTTTCAGCTGAATCCAAAGGCTACAAATGGGTTATTGAAGGTGCAGCACTTAGATATTAAATTTAACTTGATGTCAGAGAGAGATTACTTTTTGTCTTCCACAAGAAGAATCAATGGCAGTGCTGCTTTTTAAAATCACCTCTCCTGGTGAAACAATGGAGAGTGAATGCAGCTATCCTGGTCTSATAACAGCACTGTAGGTCCTCTCTTTGCTCCCATAAATAGCTGCAAAGTGACACTGGAGAAGCAGTTCCCATCCAAATTCAGAGCAAGTGTTATAAAAAAGCCTTAACCAATGGCAYGCTTCTAAGAGCAAGATAACGACAGAAGCAGCTTCCATGTGATGACCTTTTTCAATCTTGCTACATCTATCTTAGTGGAAAACACAGCTTACCAAAGCCCTTAACAAAGCCACTTTTCTTTCAAAAATATGGCAAATCTTATCCAGTGCCCTCGTTTCACTATCTGGCAACCAGATAAAGGTAAAGTTGTTTAATTTTGGATGTTTTTTTCAAATCTGACATTCCAGTATTAGGAAGTGAAGTAGCCTGACATGGAAAAGACTCACCTCTTCCTCTGAAGAAAGGCGAAATTACAGTTTAAAAATAACCAGTGCAGAAATCTGTTTGAGCTTCATTTTCACTTTTACTTCTAAATTCCTCCTAKAGAAAATTCTGTTGAATAATCAGCTCAGGTTTTAAACTTCATACTCTCATGTAGCATAGCATTGCAGTTCATGGTTTTTTACCTGACTTACTTGTGGGGTTTTACACAKACATGAAAATTCTCTTATGTGACATAATGTTTATTTAGTGGTGGTACCGGGATTTTTAAAATTTGTTTGTTTGGTATTGTTTTGGTTTTTTTGGTCTGTTCTTTGAGTTAATTTCAACCTCATGTTGCTGTTGTGATGTCAAATATTTTCTAGATGTTGCCATAGGGGGCATTTGGGATAATTTSCAATTTAATGTGTTAGAAAGTTTGGAAGTGGGATATGGACATGTAATGATGTTTCCACATGAAAGATGACTGACATAAGAGAGCATTTGCAGCTTTTATTTGAATTTCACAAGATTTTTGAATCCAAGCACCATTCCTGAGGCTGAAACCGTTAATAAACGCGTTCTTAAACAAAAGCCCTTGAGCAATACTAAGTCCAAAAATAAAGTGTATCAAAGGCAGTCAGATGGCCTCTTCACAGTGGTAAACCACATTTCATGACACCACAATTCTCAGTAACTTCAAGATATGGAATCTGAGGAAGCATGGCTTTCCGTTGCTGCAGTACAAATACATCCCCGTGAGTTCATTGCTTATCCCAAGGCTAAAGTGCTATAATTTTCTTCTGAAGTCCCCAAAAACAGATACAAGAAGTGCAAATTATGGCATCTAAGATGAAGAATTTTCACAGACCCACAATCCCACTGTCTCTTGAAGCTGTAACAGTTGGCAAGTATAAAGCCTCAGTCTGAGGGTTCAAATCATCACCTTAAAGAAAGAAAATGCAACAGTATTAATTTAAAAATCTGCAGTGATTTAGGAAAATGAAAAGCCTGTTTTTAACAACTGAGTGTTAAAGAGTGAAAGCTCTGTCTTCATTACCTGCAAATTTTTCTGGGTCATAGTGAAGTTACAGTGGCTCTTTAAAGTTGCCGTAATTTACAAGAACATTTGATTGCAATCTTTTCAAAGGAAAGAATTATCTCTCTTATCTGTAGTCCAAATTCTCAGTCTCCTATCACAACGAAGCTATTGCTCACTTTCAGCCATATAAATGAAATAACAAAACTGAAATCTCTTTAGAGAGCATCCATGGGAATGACTGTCAGTAATTCTGTGCATGTGATTAAAAGTGTGCAGAACTGGGACTTCCGTGATGAGTTCAAATGTCCTACATATTCAGTTCTGATACAACTTGAGCTGTAACTGGTAACATTAACAGTACTTGTTCCTGTAACCAAGACTGTATGGGTCATTTCCAAGACAGTCTGGTAAACTATCTGTGGCTTTTATGCTTCAACTACCTACTCATCATGGAAAAAAGGTTCTTTCCAGAGTTTCTCAAAAATATATGATGCTGAGAAATAGAAATGTTTGTCTTCTGACTTAGTGCATGTTGCACAAAGTTATTTTGTCATTAAAATGAAGAAGTAAAACAAAACCACAAAGAGCAGACTCGTCTCCTTTAATTTCTTCATTTCATGAAGTGCACAGAAGAGGCCATGTCCTACAAAGTGGAAAAATTCTACAAAAGTAATACAAAAACCAAGGGGAAGCCACGCTCTGCTCAGACAATGTGCACTGGAATTATGTCCAGGCATGCACCAACGCTGTCCTTCAGAATGCTGCTTGCCTTGAGCTTGTGTTCATTAGTGCATGGCATAATGCCACTRAAGTTTCACATCATCACGTGAAAAATAAGAATGAGCTTTTGGCTACAGCAAGTGTTGATTTGTGAAAGGTAAAAATGTCTTTCTGGAAGTTTTATTTTGACTAATATCTACTGATTCCAGTGGATTGGACAGTTATGGTTAAGATGCAAGCATGGTAATCTGAGGTGATTTAGAAATTAGTGAATTCATGCCCTCTTTACCAATCTCTCACTTTCACCTATAAAATGTAGGTTTTAAGCTGGTGACTTCTTGATGTATTTTTTTTAGTAGTGAGAAACATGGGTGGATTCTCTCATAAATCCTGTCCTTGGAAAAGCCCAATTTGGACAGAGTTGTCTCTGTCCAAAATCTGGTATGTGGTTTTTCTTCAGGCCACTTGGTCAGCTATATAACAGTTTTAGTCYATTTGTGCTCCTTAGCAGTCTCAGGGCTGACCTCAGTAGGCTGTATGAGGGTCTGCTTGGACACCAGGGAATTATGGCTGAACCAAATACCTCAGTACCTAACACTGGCCACAGCCTCTCTCTTTACAATGCATTAACCTGTCAAACTTTTATCTATAGGTAATAAAAGTTATTTATAGAAGAAAGTGTGTTAAGGCCTTTCTTATCATATTGCTTTATACTTTTCTATGGTGGTTTCCTTTTTTCCAGTTCAATTTTRGTGCAGAATAGTTAGATGCATCCTGACAGGTTTTTTTTAGGTATTATCTTCCCTCTGCAATATAAAAATTTCTGGATGTCCAGGCAAGCCAGATGCTCCTAAGATGAGAAGTAGCCCAGGAGATGATAYAATATTCCAGATAAATGAGGTATCATTTCATTTGTTGTTAAAACCTGTAGCCTAATTCAAAAGTATAGCAGGCTATTACCACTAAATCTTGATGCTCTCCAAAACAACCAGCTTTCTGAGAGAATCCTTCTTATCCAAGAGTACTCCAGTTAGTATATGGAGGGGTGTGCTGAGCTATGTATGCAAGGTATTGGTATCTCAGTGAAGGGGAACCAGTTGTAAACAATAAATTGTTACATTGACTGTGAGAAAGTAAAAACTTTAGAAACTGCATTTTTTAGAAACCTATGAAAAAGTGAATTGAAATTCATATCTATCCCCTGCTTTGATATAGCATTATTTAGGTTGCAATCGACTTTTTTTTTTTTTTTTTTTTTTTTTTTTTTTTTTTTTTTTTTTTTTTTTTTTTTTTTTAGATGTAAGGAAGAAAAAACTGAATTTACATTTAAAAAAAATCTCTGTGACTTACTGTTCTCATCTTTCAGGCTAGGGTTCCGTTTTCTTTTCTTTTCTGTTAAAGTAAATATATACAAATTTAACTTAAGCATTTCTAGATTTGAAAGAAACAATAAAATTAAACTGAGCTGTAAGCACAATCAAGTTTATTAGTAAGTCATGCCAAATAAATAAGCTTCTCTATGTTTCTTTCCTTTTGCAAAACCTGAACCAAATTCTTAAGACTTTTCCTCCATTACTGTGAGTACATTTGTCTGGTTTGCTGGAGCCTATTCGTGTGCAAGAAAATTCTAGAATAATAGTCCATTTGCTTTATTACTTTTGCACTACTGCACATGCAAACAAGGAAAGAAACACTGTGATAGTCCTACATCACGCACCACTTTTTCATTTTGCAGCCTTAATGAAACTGAAAAATAAAACCTGTGTAATGTGCTGTAGCTGCAATGCCTTTGTAGCGATGAAGAAAACCCTGTTCAAATGACGCTTTTACAGCCCTCCTTACCAAAGGCAAAGTTTGTAGTCTACACAGAATTAACTGGTGAGTTTTAAAAATGTATCTTTCCACATACCTTGTCTCACATAGCTAACACAGTGAAGAAAATAAAATCCAACTCAAATGATCCAAGATCTCATTATATAATATCTTGTCATCCAGAAATAAAATACTACCAAAGTCACACAAGTGTGCCTAGAGTCACTAAAAGAGGTTGTTCACAGGAGAAAATAAAGAAATAGTGAAAATTTTCACTCTCTGAAGTAAAATATACCTTTTCTGGGTTGCCCATTCTGGAATGTTTTTCTCTTCTGAAATATTATTAGTGCAGAGAGTAGAACAGCTACAGTCACACATGTGGGGATGATAAATGACATCACCAATTTTTGTCTGCTATACTGTGCACTCATTAAAGCTGTCAAAAAAATGAAAGGAAAGTAAATTTATAACTTGTAAAACAGACATTGTTTATCAAGTTATCACTTCGGTTTCTGAGCAAAAGATAGATGTTTGACTAAACAGATTTTTTAAATCTATCAACTTAATGTTTTGTACTCATTTTAGGAATAATTTGTTCTGAAATGTTTCTGTAAAAAGCCCTACAAAAAACCTGTCGRATCTCTCATTTGTATGGCATTTGAGTCTGGCATTTGAAATATTTATATGTATATTGATGAGATCCCTCTCAGTCTTTTCTTCTCCAGACTAAACAGGCCCAGCTCTCAGTGTGTCCTCACAAGACAGACACTCCAGACCCCTCATCATCCCTGTGGCCTTCACTGAACCCTTTCCTGTGTCTCCTTCTCTCGTGTCCTAAGGWGCCCAGAACTGGACACAGCACTTCAGGTGTGGCCTCATTAGAGTAGAGGGCCTGGATCACCTCCCTCAACCTGTCAGTGCTCTTTCTGACGTATCCCAGCCTAGCGTTGGTCATCTTGGCCACAAGGATASACTGCTGGCTCATGCACAGCTTGTTGTCCACCAAAAGCCCCAGGTCCTTCTCTGCAGTCACTTCCCAGCCGGTCAGCCCCAGTCTGTGCCAGCACTTGGGGTCGTTCCTCTCCAGCTGCAGGACCTTACATTCAATTGAACCCCACTGGGGTTCTCTCTGCCCAGCTCTCCAGTCAGCCAAAGTCCCACGGAATGGCAGCCCAGCCTTCAGGTGTATCAGCCACTCGCCCCTTATTTGGTGTCACCAGCTAACCAGCRGAGAGTGCATGTGATTCCTTTGTCCAAGTTGTTGGTAAACAAATTGAATGCACCCGGTATTGTTCTTTGGGGAATGCCACTGACAGCAGGCCTCCAACTGGATTCTGTTCCTTAGATCACGACCYTCTGGGCCCTGTCATTCAGCCAGTTCTTGATCTACTTCACTGTCTGTTCATCTAACCCACATTTCCTTGAGCTTACCTACGAGCATGTTACAGTAGACAGTGTCAAAACCCTTGCTGAAGTTAAGGTATACAACAAAATAGAATAATTAATTAGGAGTCTATCAGGGAAGACACTCATGCAGCTGAAAAAATTTCTTCTCTACTGGCAGGAAAATAGTGAAAGCTACCCTAAAATTAAAATATATATAAAAATACAGACTGGCTTGTTGAAAGTGTATGTTAGCTGAGGCTTCAAAGTCATAAATAACACTGACTTGTTTAGTTTCCCAAGAATCAAGGTAACACTGATTTCTAGAACTGAACTCCAGTGATGGACCACAGCACATGATGTGTGTATGAACACTCTCTGTCCTGTACAAATTCAAGGTCATACGAACCTAAGTGAGCTGAAGTTTCTTCATTCAGTTTTTTATTCCAGAAGACACAGGTGTAGTTCTCATTTGTATTTGGTTTCAGTGTCAAGGTGCTGGTGACATTGTAGAGGCCATCTGCAGTCAGTGTATAGGTGGTATTTGCGAGTCCACTGAGGTTGAAGCTCTTCTCGTTCCGCCAGAAAACCTCTGCCAGAGGAAAGCCTTCTGACTGGCACATAAAAACAATCTTGTCTTCATCTGTTTTTCTCATTACTTGAGTGTTTATTCTCTTGTAAGATGCTGCATAAGAAGTTGTTCAGTGAAATTGTTGTGTGCAACTAGTCATTTTCCCACTTCACTTTTCCTGCTTCCCTTTAATCCCATCTATTGTTTATGGCTATGTCTCTGAGACACTTACTTAAAATGATGAAGAATGTTTTGTAGAACAATGCAAAATTCATTATTCAAYCTTACCATGCCTACAGCCACAGAACATACTCCAGTACTTTATGCAAGGCAGCAGTTGACACTTAATTTAAATTATCAAGACAGAGGATGCAAGGGAAATCTTATGAGACTCTATTTTCACTTTTTGAATATGCCACTTCAAGAAAAAGGCTGATTTTCTTTTTTGTTTCAACATATTTTCATCATATTAGAACAAAATTTACTTTTCACAGGAACCAATTTGGGTCTTCAGAATGTCTGTGTCCATTTTTGCATTTGGTAAAAACATTTGGGTGAAAAACAAATGCTGCCTTGTATCATACATACATGCTGTTAGTGGGAAACACTAGAAGTGTTTTAAAGGTCTGGTATGACATGCTGTCCAGTAACATATACCTTTATTACTAATGTCCATTTGGCTTCTTTGAACACATAAAATCACATGYCCTTGCTCTGGGAGCTGCAGTCACTTGGGGAACTCCCAGACACTTGGGAAATTGCAGCAGGGTTCATAACAATATCAAAGCATGTCTGAGAAACTTTTAAGAATGACCAGAAGTGGCCCAGCAAGGAAGGGGATCAAACAAGAGCAGAGAGGTAGTGGCACTGGACAAGAGGGTATGGAAAGAAGGAGACGGGGYGAATGATGGAAGGAGAACAGATGCTGTCCGCCTCCAGCCCCAGATGTTGAACCAAAGGCTAATGAGCGCTAAGACAACTGCTTTGGTTCTGCTGGGTGCTGAGGACAAGGTCTTGGTGAGAGAACCAGCAACAAATTCCTTCAAATCAATCAGTTTCTACCAGCTTGTAGGCGTTTAGAAGAGATGTCTTAATGACTACACATTTACATTCAATGTAACCACTCACCCTTTACTTCCAAAGCAATGTACTTGTAGTCCACACCCTGGTAATCAATGAGACAAAGGTATGATCCTGCATCTGTGATCTTCACCTTGGTGATCTGAAGTATGGCTCGTCCCAGCTTCAGTTCACTGTGTAGAAGTGATGCTCTTCCTATGTAATCAGGATCTTGGGATGGAGGGACCACCTTCCCATTGCGGAGTGTGTACACTCCTTTTGATTTTGATGAGTCCTGCCTTTTCTGCTCCCAAATAACAGTCAGGAGTCGCAGATCTACTGAGCCATTCAGAGAGAATCTGCATTCCATGGTCACGTTGCTGCCATACTCTGCAATGTAGAGCTGTTGAGGAACTTCAACTGTAAATAAAGCTACATAAGGAAAAGAGAAATGTTTCATTTGTTTCATAAAACATGCTCTGCAATTCTTTAAATTTGGGCAAAACTCTATCAGATAGTATATACAGATAGTTTACTGTATACAGGTAATCAATAACATGGTTACTGGTTTGACTAAATTTTAATAATTTTTTGTTCATATTCACATTAATATTTTTAAATATAGTAATTATAACAAATCATCTATATTTTGTATTGCCAACAGAATCTGAAAGATGAGGGTAAAATGAGCAAGTTTTCTTTTTTACCTTTTAAAAATAATTTATGACTGAGCCAGTGATTAAACAGAGAGCATTTTTATGAAATTATAATGGTCTCTTACACTTCCTAAGACTGTTGTAAAGATAACAATTAATTGGGGGAGCTGCAAATCTAATTTCATTATCATTTACAAAAAGAAACTGGATAAACATGGATAGCTCAGAAGAATTGCTATATAGCAATTACAGTCTCCTATGAGCCTGGAGCCATGTGAATATGATTTGATCCCATGCATTTTCTCAGATATGTGCAGCAGTATTACAGAAAATATTTCAGAATATTCTTAAACCTTCACCCAATTGGAAATTCATGTTGTTATGAATAGTTTGCTATTCTAAAGTACTTGATGTAGCAGAGCTATTTGCAACACACCATTCAGTATACCTTTTACTACTTTCCATATTGGGTGTACCACATACTGGTTAATTTAATTCAGGACCACTCGGAAGTATTGGTAGCAGCATTCCAAAGAGAAGTCTGTGCAACTGTTTATGCATTCCTTTTATTTTGTGTGTCTGTGAAATATTTACAGGGAAACCTCCAGTTCCTCTTAGCAACATTTGTTTATTCACTCTAATTCAACTGTAATTGAGGGAAAAAATGATGTGAAAAAGTGCCAAGCTCCTTCTGGATTTTAGCCAGAGGGATTCTGCTACAGGCATGGATGGGAACACAAGTAAAATCACTTCACTCCACCTCACACTGAAGTTGTTCTGCTTCACAATGGGCACTGGTCATCCTCCTTCTCACACCGTGCCAGGTGATGCTGGACATCTCAGCTGCCAGCACAGAATGTGGTTAAAAAAAAAACTGATTGTGGAAAGTGACAGACACCTGTCCTGTGATCAATCAGTGCCAGTGCCTGCTGTGAGACATTGGAAAGCAGAGGCTGCAGACACCACTGACCATTCAGCAAGAGTTGCTGGAGGTACCTAAGCCCAAGTACTAAGATTTGCTTTAGTTCTGCTGGTAGAACTGAAAGGCAGTTTCTCTCTTACCTGAAACCATGGAGAGCTGCATTTCCAGCAACAGCACGGTGAGGATCTGGAACATTTCCTCAGGTGGGTCTGAAACAAAAACAGGATTGCATTAGAATTTGCAACAGCTACCATCAGCTGAGGAGATCACAGCCATGTTAGCCTTTAAAATCCACCAGAGCTCATAAGAACTAAAAGAGAAACAAAGAAAATCCTTTCTAGAACAACTCATTCAGACACAAAGGGTATGAACCAATGGCAATGAAACAGTGGCAATAAAGGGGAATAAACCATTTCCACAACTTCACTCATGACATTTCAGGATCTGTACTTTGCAAGCCGTCCTAAACAGTCTGACAGGAAAATGCTTTTACATTTTTTACCACCCACGAATAATCATCAATTGCAATTGACCTCTCCCATGCAGGAGAGATTCATAAACAAGTACAAGCAGATTTTTAACTGCCTGCACCTAGTTTACAAGATTTGTAACCCTGTTTTTATTTCAACTCCGCTTTGCATGGGTCATTTTGCAGGTTCTTATCGCCTTACACCAAAACACCAGGAAATAACTGGAACACATTGTGAGGCAGTGGAAATCTTAGGATGGGTAAATTAAAGTTTGCTTCAAAAAGGATTAGAATGAAGACTCACTGCTGCTAACTCTTTCACTTTGCATATGTCAGTATCTGACATGTACAAAGTGCCTTGTGTTACTCATTGTAAACCARCAGTCCTGGAATAATGCTGAAGGARAAAGTACAGTTTTAGAGTGAGTATTTTCCTGTTACAGTAGCAAGCAAATTATCAAATATTTTTATACTATTGTACACAGATCAACGTAACTAGAAAGAGAAAAAAAACGCAGCCAAACAATAAAGAAATACAAGGGGCAAAGTTTATAGCAAAACAAATCAGAGAATAGAAAAGGAGGAAGAACAATTTTGAATAAAGCTTGCTAACATACAGTATAATCTGAAAAAAAAAAAAAAAAAAANCCAGAATAAAACCCAGAAATAAGCTACAAGGAAGTAGAGAAGAGAAGGAGCAATTTTTGACTTCCCCAGAGCTAGACTTATTGGAGGAGGGGTTCAATTTTACTTCCCTATTCTTTTGTGGGCTCAGCTTGAAACATGCTCATTCCAATTTTCTCAGGTGCTGCATTTCTCTCGTGGCTTCTACCCTTGAGCTCTCAGTGTCTTGGAAAGTGAGGCTCAAATTTTAGCATATTTTAGCARATTTTAACAGCCAAAATTATGGGAGTTTTCCTGGAAATTTAGACCTTAATCATATGATGTCACAAATGAAGTCTTTATTCAAACTACCGTCACCTGAATTATTGCATGCAAATGAAAGCTAGTTACCTTTACCTGACAGAGTCCATCACTACTTAATATGTGATGTGAACTGTAATTTCTTTGGCTGTGTGGGAAAGGAGCTAGTAAATAGCTCCTGTTTTCTGGATGCAGAAGAAAAGACTGTTACTGTTTACCATCCTCAGTCTCCTGCTACGCTCACTACTCCACTCAACTTACCTTGAAGCAAGTGGACATCAGAAGAACTGAAAGAATGGGACAGTATTTCATATTATTTAGGTCCCTGGATTAACCTTATATGAGACATTTGAGGTAATCTGGTGGGTTTTTATAGCTCAGAGTACACTGAGAATGTAGAGCATGTTTATTTTATATTGTAAGGGTTGGGATTTTTTTTTTAAATATTACTGAGAGTAAAAAGGTAGAATAAAAATAAGAAGATACACAGTCAAAACCACAGAAGACAGAAATAATAATTATTAGATTATTATTTTTTAAAATTATTTTCTCCTTATTAAGTAAGAATAAATCTTGCCTGACCACAGGGGATTARTATTAGAAGAGCATTAAACATAATATAAATATACAAAAGAACCAAAATGTGAGAACATTTTCACTTGTGATAAAGAAAGAAGTCATGTACTGCTTGTTGGAATCAGGAATGATCTGCATTAGACAGATCAAAGATCTGTTAGCATGGATGTATATTAGAAGGGCCAAGTTGTGTCAGTAAGGACCTCTGTCACAAGGCATCTTTCTTTATTGCCACAATCTCTGCAGCAGACATCAAGTTGTTGCGCAGCCTCAGTGCAATCTACCAATGCRACTTCATCATGAGGCTCTGCCGCCTGACACACTTCCATAGAAAAGTCTGCATCTGGAAGGTGATTTCCTCTGAGCTTGCACTGCCAACCATGCGTTCTGTTACTCATTTTCTTCCTGCTTTTTGTAGAGCATATATCACACCCTGCTCTGCAGTATTCCTTGCACACAACTATCCCAACAAGCTTAGGCACATCACTGCTTTTTTTTTCCTTTAAGCAAAAGGCCATTTCTAAAATGTATTCTTCATATGTCTGTTACAAATTCATGGAGATAAAATGAAGGAACATTGCACCATAAAAATCATTACTTAATGGCTCTTTCAGTGAAGTAAGGAATTCAAAATACACATCTGAGAAGAGTAAGAAGTTGCATGACATTTCAACAGCAATTCAGATCCAGGCAGTAAATTGATTTCCCAGACCAACCTGCAGAAGAAAAAAGAAGTTATCACACGGTGCTGTGTGTTTATGAGAGTTTAGTGGAAAAAACCTTGGAGAGTTGAGGTGAAAAGCATCACACCAAACATCTAAAGATCATCATGGATTTTTATGAGTTGTAATAATTTCAATGAAGATGTAAGGCCCAAGACTGAAAATATGAAAAGTGATATTGAAAACATAAGTATGACTATGAATGCACAAAAGGAGGAATATAATCTTATCTTTTTATACTATTTTTTTGCTTTACTGAAAGTACTAAGCTGAAACTCCTACTTGACTTTCATTGGCCTGCAAGTAAGTAAACTGCTAAGTTTCATATTAGTGAATGCTGAGTGAAATCCAGATGGCAATGATAATAAATTGCTAAAATTCCACCAAAGACCGAAACTACACCAACTATTGTTTTTCTCTTCTTGATTCATTCAGTTGATCATGCCTGTGGCTTCAGTCCTGGCCCCAGCTCATGTATCTGAGGGATTATAATCCTTGTCTCAAAAATGGACAATTTCTGGCCAATAAAATACCTTACTTCACATAAAATCTTAAGGGTTTGTTCAAAATCCTTCTGGTAAGGAGTAAAAAGGATAGTTCTTGTTCCTCCAGAAAATTTAGACTCAGTATTCCTGTTTCAAACTGTACAAGGTGTATGTTCCAGGTGACAAAATTATTCCGTCTTAAAAATAATGCATATGCTTTATTCAATTCTACAGACAGAAGCAAATAGGTGTTGATCCTGACAAAGCTGGATGTTACAAGGATGCTCTCAGGAACTGAAACTGGTGCCAACACATGAACTTCAAACTGCTACATGCTTAAACCATGGAACTCTCGAGCAAAAGCTGGGATAGCTTGCTTAAGTAGCTGTGCTTTGTGCAGACCTCTTTGGTTTTTGTTTATTGTTATGGCAACTGGATCGCATTTTCAGAAAACACTCATATGTGACTTGCAGGTTGGCAATTGAGGTTGGTACCAATCTAGTCATAAGAGTTAGGACTGATTTGGCTTTCATTTTATGTCAAGTTTACAAGAAATTTTTTAAGCAAAGGAACATGAAGATCACAGAATTCTTTGCAATCTGCTCCTTTCTAATAAAGATTGAAAGCCACGTCTGAGTAATCTAAATTAAATCCTATTCTTTTCATCCCTGAAATATCAAAATGCTTTTCTTAAGTAAAAGAAGCATTTTCATATAAGAACCTCTGAAATTGCCTTTGGTTAGTACCCTTTCTGTGATTGCTCCTGCTCATTACARGGGGCATTTAAAGATTCCTTCCAACTGAAATAATGATCTGGTTCCATAGTCCTATGATTGTTCTCAGCACAAGTTTAACAAAAAGTCCTGAATAAAATCCTTATGCTGTCCACTAAACTAAACAACCAGGGGCACGGGCCACTGATTCAGACAATAAATCATGGAAAAAAACCCTTTCCTGTAAACATGGTTTCAGCTATTAAAATATTTGTGTTCCAGCAAATGGACAATTAAGAACAGTAAACACATTTAGCATCCACATAATGAAACTTAGTAGCATTACGCAAGGAGAATTTCTTAGACCAATAACTTCCACTAGAATATTCAGAACAGTTGGAAAAGCTAAACAAGCTTTCAGGCACACTAGCTTTTCTCTGGGTTTAAAGCAGAAGTCAAATCAACACAGAAGTTCACAATGATCACTCATATTGCACTCTGGAAGATCAAAGGAATAAAGAAATAAGGACAGGTGTTCTTACAAAGTGGAAGAAATCGGAAACATTGAACTCCACAACTGGGAGCTGGAAGGATGGAAATGTCACCAGGCCAGCCAGTTGGTGTGTGTCCACCTGCACATCAACTGTCACACTTTAGCAAACAAGGTATTGCAAGTGGTCTGAAAGACTGGTGAGACATCCTGAGCTAGTARACTGCTACAGATTTGAAACACCATTACTGCAATTGATCTGTTCACTCCTGCTTTCAGGGTTGTTGCTCTGCTGCTGACAGGGTCTGCAACATTACTGAACTGAGATGAGCTCAGACCACACTTTTCCTTGTCCCTCTCCTTCTACACTCTGTCTCATTGTATTGCAAAGCTAGAACCTAAACTAATCACAGCCCAGTGTCTTCTCAAAATGTTCTCAAAATTCATCTTAATCAGGAGCAATCAAGCTGTATTAATAGAGCATTCTACTTGGTTCCATTTGACTCTTCCTGCATGATATGGAGTTTTATGCTCACTTGTTTTGTCTTTTTCTGTTACTGAAACTCACTTGCCTTCTGTGCATCTTGCAATGGAAGCAAGCTTTTTCCAAAAGCTTCCTTCTAACATTCTCATGTGTGCAGAAAGACACAAATTTTTGGCATCCTCATGAAMTGGCCAAGCTGACTTTACTTTCAGTAAACGATCCAGTTAAAACAAAACCAAACAAAAAGTTAAAGAAAAAGGTTTAAAAATCCTAGATCAGAAATGAACAACAAAATAAACAAAAAAGATCCTCATACAGATACAGCTGTTCTATATCTCACTATCAGAAAGAAGGTACTTTGTTTTCATTTCAGGTATTTCATAAAAAAACTAACTATGCATGTTAAAATTTGCTCCAAATCCATTTCTCCAGCTTGTCTCAGTATATTCTCAGGCATAATTTTTTGCTCGCATTCTTTTCAACCCATTTGATTCACATACCATCTAACTTGTTGTTCTTCCTCTTTTTGCACACTTATTGCAGTCCTTTGCTGCACCTCACCACACAGTCAATTTGTTGTTGGGACCATTGCTTTGTTCCTGATGTTCACCTGTGACAGCCAATTTGCATATTTTCAGTCTGCCCTCCATCTCACTTCAGCTTTCAGGTGAAGAGATACAATTTCTCACTTCCTCCTTTGCTCACACCACCTAGGAATCCTCACTTTCCCTGAATTGTTTAATTGTCTCTTGTTGTATTTTTTCCACAGCCACTTTTTTTGTTCCATGACAAGTGCAATCATTCTAATACAACCTTTTTTTTTTTCTTTGCCATATATGGTAGGAGAGAATTCAGATGAAATTTTGTTACAGGAAACATTACTACATTTAAAATGCAATTGTGTATTCCACAGAATTCAGCTCTTAGCARCAACGCTGAGTACAGAATAACACCYTGGCATAATACACTGCAAATTTTATTCCATATCTGCAGCTTCTACATAAAGAAAGTCTTCTCAGAGAGGCACAAGAAATTCTCATCTTCATAACCTGTGCTCCTTCTGGGATGCAGAAGGTGRAAGTCTCCAGACTTGCTGTACAATCAAAAAACCCCTACTGTTTGCAGGTAGTGGGTTAATAACAACTAAAAGAAAGTAAACAGGAACTTATGGATACAAGTGTATACAGAGGTTTTTTTCTTCCTTCAACTCTTCCCTGAAATTCAGAATGAAATAGTTACTAACAGCTATACCCACATATATAAGCTGAAGAGGTTCACCTGTGCCACTCCTCTGYTTTTGCCTATGACAGAAAAGAGAGTTGCAAGAGAGGTTCAGCTTCTAAAACTATCAGGGTATGAAGTTATATGAACCTGTGTTTTAGGATCTGGAACTTATCTGGTCTCTTGTTCAGAATCAGAGCCTATATTACAGAAACAAATTGAAAATAGACTTAAGTAAATTTTCAGAATCTTGGAAAAAAAAATCTGTAATCCATCAGTCAGAAATACAGTAAAATTTGCATTTTCTCAGTGTTATACTCACATCAAATCTTTATGCAGTCATTGAGAGGATCTGATTCACATAACAGCAAAGATTTTTCAAAGCTCTATCCTATTTGCACAACAGCAGAAACTACCCAACTCTCATGACAGTGCATAACATGCACCAATAGCATAGCTTGTAGGCTGATCTTATTCAGGCTTTATGAGACAAAAAACTGGCTGTGTTAAAAGGGTTCAGTTTCAGTTTCATGCTGAATGCATGCTGAGCTCAGTTCTCTGCATTGCTGAGAACTGGCACAAAAAAAAAAAATACAAAGCATTCTGTAAATTTTATATGCTTGAATTCTGCTTTTGATTGTATTCATGATTTTTCTCTGGGTTTATAACCATTTAGAGCACTGTCCAGCATTGGCATCTAAACTTGCATTTACTAGGACTGTTCTGTATTCACTGTTCACGTTTTCTTAGTTTTCACCAGATTAATTTTATAAGATTTCCCCAAGTGATTACCTAGTATTTGCAGAACCCATTTCCTCTTAATTTTCATACAAATTTATGTTATTACAAAAAAAAAAATACAATTATGCTATTCAAACACTCGAATGAGGTTGTGGATCTCGACTCTTACAAATACACTTTTAGAGGGCAAAGCCTGGGCAATTGTTTTTAAAATGTCACTGCTTTGAGTAGAAAATTGGATTAGGTGACTGACAGATCTCCTTTCCAATATAAAAATATTTTGTTCTATTAAATAGCTTTATCCGTGGATATATGTTTTCATTGTTCATCACTCTACCTTTTAATTTATAATGACATCATGARTGGGAGATGTAAAAGAGCATACAGATTCCTCCCAGGTTTCTAAGATGCATTGGTGCTACAGGTGGGACACCTCTTCTGTCTCCTGTTAGTTTTTCATCACTTGGGAGAATTGTGCTCTACTTCAACACACAAAATKATTGTGCTCTCAGTCCTGTGAATTCTGCCTGGTTTGAATCCTACCTGGCTTGGGATGATGTGTGATGACTGCCTGCCTCACAACTCCCAACTGGTTTAGGTTGTGAAATTGTGTCTCCTGCTGCCTAGTACAGAGCAAACCTGTTCAACAGAATGACTGTCACATTATTTTATTTTTCCTCTGTAAGTTCATCATGTGTAGCCCTGTCACACAAAGTAATTCATGGGTAGTCTCACCTTTTCCCAGAAAAGCTCCAATGACTTCTTTAGCAGCTGTCCAAAGTCAATGATTTGGATGACAGAAAAGAAACACCAAAGTTACTTCACAGTCACTGTCACCGTCTTCTACTCATTCTGAGCCAGTTCTGCCTACAAGAGGTTTTCTTCATGTGTTCCCGTTTTAGCACAGGGAGATAGTTCAATGAAATTGCCCAGGAGTCAGTGGTTTGCTTTGGGCACCTCATGARCCCATAGCTATATGATTTGTGTGGGACAATCATACATTTGCAGGATCAGATAAATATGGAGAGGGACACAGGGAATCTGGAAGAAGACACTGAAAAAAACAGAAGTCCTACTGTGAACATCAGCAGAAGCAGAAACCCCACTGTTAACATCTGTCATTTTCCTGACTAGCCATGCTTGAATGATGCACCACAGGTACTTTTTGGTAAAGAGGGAAAAGGGACACACATCCTGCATAYTGGTCTATGAAAAGCTGTGCTGGTAAATAACAGYRATTTTTTATTATTATTATTTAWATTATTGGTTCTTTAATGTAGTTGTTACTAGGAATAGCTTTCATATTCTAAAAAATTAAGTGCCACGTCCCAAACCAGGTCACCATGCTGGTTTATAGTTAYGTTTGTCAGATGAATGAGTCCTGAACTGAAATACTTATAAGCCAAGTTAAATTGTGTAGGCTTTTCTGAGCCTTTTCTGAGCACTTTTGGAGATCTAATAATGCTTGGTCWTCAGGAAGAGAAATGCAGCTTACTGCATTTACTGTAAAATGAAGCTAAGTATGCCAGCTTGCTGTTGTAGTATGTCTTCCAGATATCCAAAATCACTGAAGTAACACACAAATGCTTTTATCTAAAGGAAAATATATTATTATGCATATAATCCTTAACCATATTTTTTGTGTCAGGATAGGAAAGATTTTCACTTACCTGTTTCTTTAGAACCAAATATGTTGTATTTTCACTTAGGTGTATATTTTTCCTCTGTAATGAGGGGAAAATACTTGAGCTGAAGTACTCAATACTCATTGCATTGGAGGATAAACATGTGGGTCTGTCTGCCTTTATTCATAAAAGTGAAGMCACAAGACTTAGATTATAGTAAAAGCTTAATTTCTAAAAATGGATTAGTCAGGTTCTGTTTTGTATTTCAGAGAAGTATAAAGTAGAACTTATTTAGTGAGGACAGGTCTTTTTACCTTACCTGTTATTCATTACATGTCCTGATTTTCTAGGGAAGTAGTAAAATTTTATGCTTCCTATCAACCACTCAGGGATTCAAGCACTGTCATTTTTGAAGTTAGGGTTCAACTGCAGAATTTGTGGTTTTATCCACATTTCATTATTTTACACATGTGATATACAGCACTTTTAACAGTAACTTGCCCTTTCTCCTGACAAAAGAGAAATGTAACAGTTCCTGATGTCCAGGGGAGTTTGATAAAGACATTAACTTCATCCCTATGAGCACCAAGCATGCACTGTTAACAACATTGCCTTGCAAAAGCGGGTAAGAATTAACAGCCAGAGACTTCTGYACTTTTGCTTTAATATGCACACAACAAGTCTCAAACAGGAAGCAGAAAATGAAGAGGTCATCGTGTTTGGAAGGGGAATTATTTATGTGGTCATAAGATWCTGCATTTTTGTGCTGAGTCAGTACTTTTTCTACAAATGGTCTTGATATTTCAAAAACCCCTCTGTAGACAAYTAAAATTTGGCTACCATCTTCAATGACACCCAGACTTAAAAAGTGTGTTGGGAAGCAGGAGGAGATGTTCAAGTTCCCATAACATCCTTAAAGAATCAAATGGCAAGAATCAGTACCAGAATATGCAAGCTCTGCAATGATTTGGGGAAATCACTTTGTATTAACTGTTTTACCTAACCAGGGTCAATCAACCCCATTATGATTCCGAGACACATSTCTCTATTCTACTCTCAGACAGATTTCTGAGATTATCAAACACAACCTTACATTAACTAGGTCGAATAATGCCAGCAGTGAAGCCCTGGAATTCATGAATGAGACCTGCGTCCACATTCTTAGGACTGCACAATAAACTATTTTTGACTGAAAAAAATGCCCTGAGTACAATGAGATTCCAGTTCTTTGCCATCTCTTSTTTGTGGGAGCCATTAGAGGGAGGACATGGCTGTAGATTCTCTTCTACACCCAATTCTTAGATACTGTTTTTTCTCAGAAATACACAAATGAAGCTTACACTGCTTCCTGAGAAGTCACAGAAAGCAGGAAAAACACAAGAAAAACAAAATGTGTTTTATTTTAAAAATACAATAGTCAATACCATAATAATAAATAATTTTCATCTGTATAYGATCCTCCTCAAAAGAGCTAAGCACTTAGCAAAACTTGCAAAATGGGATCCAGGAACAGGTTTCTTCAACATTTCTGAAGTAATCACATGTGCTTGTATTTCATGTCCTAGAAGTAGGAAGATTTTCMTTTTTCTATTCCCAAGACAAACAAAATGACCATCCAGAACAATGACTGTTCTTCCTAAATGTCCAAAGAATTGCATTATCCCCAAATTGTAAATCAGAGGAGTAATGAGCAGTAACCAAGTAGTGCCAGCTATATCATGAGGAAGTTAAATCCCCAAAACACATTTCAAAGAAAGATATCAAAGAGCTCAATATTRTTTCATTTCCAAGACATAGTTGCCAAGAGGTTTACATCATCTTTTTTCAAGCTTCGCTGTGAGCATCTGGTATTTTAAGATTGAATGTATGCATGGCATCTTGATTTGTTGCCTTTTTATGAAGATTAAAATATTGGAAAAATTCTTCAAAAGACAGAAAACAAAATTAGATGCTTAGGCAGAGAAGGAAGAAAAATAAGTTCAGAAGATGATCTATCAAGAATTAGCTATGAAATTCATGATCTTCATAGATCTAAAGTGCTTTACCTGAAAGAAATCTCCAGTGAAAGACACATTTGCCTAAACTTGTGAAGGTAGAAATTTGATACTTAAATAAATATCTCAATATCTACTCACATATACAAAAGCCTGAATTCCATGGGTTTTTTATGGTATAATAATTATTTTAACTTCATTATGTTTTTCCTGGGTTACAACAATATAGAAGATTACTGGCACACAATAAATACAAAAAATTAATATCCCCTTTGATAGAAAACAGAACATTTGCACTGTCAAATCTTCACAGTAGAGGAAAAAAAGTCTTCTGCTTTCTCTATGTCTCCTCTATTTGAATATCTGTAAAAAGAAGAATTATATGAAAAACTTAACAAATTAAAAAATTATGAAGACCCTGAAGACTTCAGAGCTTTGGGCCCCTTTCCTAGAGTTTGGAGGTACCAAAAAATTCCCTTCCTTGTCAAAATTTAAGACCTAAAATGGAATTAATGAAATTATCAAACAGAATCATAATGGAAAGAAATAAAGTGGTAGTTCAAACACACTGGTGGGAAATGTTCTTTAGCAAATACAGTGAGATTCTTGTTGCTTAGGTTCCTCTTTCTTCCAAATTCTTTAAAAATTCTTTCACATACATTTAGTGCTTTCTCTGTCAGTATCCCCAGTTGCATATCCCCAGGCTCTAACTCTTWGTTTTGGAGATCTATACATGCAGGACCGGCAGGCTTACCTGTAAGTTTACTGTAATAAAGAGTAGCAGGGAGGGATTTSGGATGCAATTATTGCAAGTGTTTTAGAAGTCAGCAAGAATGTGAAAAAAGAACCTAGATCATTTCACCTTCCTGTTCCACACCACAGGATGTTTCACAGATTTCAGATATTTGATCATGTATATTCTTGCTTTGCTGAGACAAAATGGCACAGCTTGAGACCTGTTCAACTGGCTATGATGGGTTTCTATCACTTTTCTCATTGCCATCASCATCCTTACAGATGAACAACTGTTTCTATAGCAAAAGTGTGAGCTGGAAAAAAAGACTCATTTGGGTTGTTATATAGCTCTACATCACATTTTCCTGCATATATATTTTCTATCTATTTTAAAAAACAGATTCATTATTTGATGTCACAAACAGTTGCGTTATGATGGTGAGTTTGTTAGACACAGAATGGGAAGCTGTATTTCTCTTGAGGGTTCAGTCTGTTGAAACAAGAGGTTAAAGAAACCATCCTTGAATCAATGTTCCAATGACCAGGAATGATTTATGGTGTGTGCAATTTGCTACTGATTTTCCCTTTGTCATTTACACTTACATTGTAGCTCTCTGTCTTCAAAAGATGAACCTCTGCAGTCATGTGTATCTTTATCTTTTGACAGCTCTGTAAGAAAAGGACATTCATACATGTAGCTTAAACTTTTCATATAGTGATAAACCTGTGTTAAAAATCTGCCATCTTGGGCCACCCAGGAACTAAGAGTCTTGAATGCAGAGCAAGAGATGAGATTAACACTGAGTGCTGTGTCCATTTGGGTGAGTATTATCAAGAAAGGCTTTTTTAGGGAAAACACAAATGACCAGTATGAACTAATTTTCACACAGTAATTTAATTTGTGGTGTTCTCCAAATACAAACATACAACAAATGGAAAACAAATCAACCAATAACCATCGTGAAAAGCAGCAAAAGAATTTAAATCTCATGTCTGCTGCTGTAAATATTGAGTCTCCTCACTCTTTCCTTGATTTTCTTCAATACCACCTGTCACAGTGGTACTGGCCTTCCACTGATCTTTGCTGACACTAAATAGCATCAATATCACAACAGGGAAAATAAAGCTTCCCTGTGTTTTTCCCAACAGGGCCAAACTCTCTGTCATGAATGTTGTGACAAAGACTCTGAAATGCATGCCATAATACTGGAGAAAACACAGGAACTGCTGTTCCAATTGCAGCACTAAGTCTGCATATGTGAAGACATTCTGAGGTTATTATGTGCCATGGAACCTGTCCCATCCTATTGCAGACTTTCCAAAACACAGCATACTGTCCTGTCCTCTCCTTGACCATCCACTCCTGGATCAAGTATGCTTTTCTTTCATAGTTTCCTTTCAAAAAAATGACASTCATGAAAAGCCACTTTTCAACTGTAACTAATATTTGTTGTGTAGATGGAAAGTAGAAAGCAAAAGCAAAATCAAATCTAGATCTCCATTTGGTTGACACCACTACAAAGTTAACTCTCAAGCAATTATTACAAGTATCACACTCTGCTGTGTGATTTATGTCGTAAGTACATACTTGCTATTGATGAACTTGCCACAGGTGTTCTGCTGCCCTTATTTGCTCTAGCTGAAAGGAAATAAAAGAGAAAAAAATTCAAAAAGAAAACAAAATAGTTACTTCAGATCCAATGAGAGGGTTAAATACACTGGTGGGAGGAACACACTTAGCATAGTGTAACCACCCGTTCTCAAAACACTAAATTCAATTACTTTAAAATGAAGTCTTCAGTGCTCCCAGTCTGCTGGTTTCCTTTGCAACTTACTTTCCTTGTTCCTAAGCCGGAAATCCATTGACACTATATGCTAACATCACTGGAAAATACTTGTTCAAGTAGCTTCCCATTGCATATTTTTACGCATAATTTCAATGTATTGGACAACAGAGAAAAAAAGAGGGTGAATTTCTCAGTCCTTTTTGAGGGGAAAAGGAGGAGATTCTGTTCTGAAAGAATCACTTATCCAGTCACCCAGGATAGCTTGGGGTTTTAAGCAAAATCTTGTTATCACTAATTTGAACCTACTAGTAGTTGATGACATATATACACACACTCACATGTGTATGTATGTATATACAGAGGTAAAAAACATAATAATGATGGTCATATAGTTTATGAGATGTACATAAATTATTACATATACACATAAACCATAAATATTAGTCAGGCAACCTGGGAAAGTTCTGACCTTCACTGAAATCCCCAGTGGGAATCTTTYGAGCAGTCAAGGATTCTGCTGTTCTTTCTTCCACTTTCATGTTCTGCTCCTATTTCCATCATGTTCTTAGGGCAAGGATATCCTTATACTTGTAGGTTTATCTAATAGGCCTTTTGTAGTCTGTTAACATCACCTGCAAGCCTGTTAAGCTGAGTAATATTTCTCCAAGGACATGTTTCCATTGTCCCTCACAACCAACCAATGAAACAAACAGAGACTAACAGTATTTCTTTCAGTTTAAGCAACAAGTTTCAAACACTTTTTTTCTTTATTTCAGATGCTAACTATATTCTTCTTCTACTCAGGCACCCTAAAAACTATTTCTACAAGTTTTTCTTATGTTAGCTAGCAAGAGAAAACAAATTATTGCCAAGACTCAGGTTCTCAACATGCTGTGATGTTGAAAATGTGCCAGTTAGTGAAGTGAACTGAAAAAGCCCAAAACTTAGTAAGGAGATCAGCGAAGTGGTGTAAAGCCTGAGTGGGAGCATTCTTCTAAAAAAGCAGGTTCTCACAGTTCTGTGATTTTTTTCCGAGCATGCAGAAAAAACCCCACTAAAAACTTCCAGTGCCCTGCCCGCTACCAGAATTCTGGTCCCCAGTTAAAAGGGAGGACACAGAAGAGGAATCTTCAATTTCYAGTCAGTGAACAAACTGTGCTTTGATACTTGACTAGATTAAACACAAATCTTACTGCTCTACACCTTATCTATAAGAAAGATTAACAGACATGGATGGGTAAGAGGTTTGTGAGGGGCTGATAACATGTTCCTGTCTGATAACTTGCTAGTATTTACCTAAATCCTGCAAAGAAAGAGAAATAAACAATGTGGTAAAAAATTGTCTCATTCCACTCAAGGAGAATGAATTAACAGAACAGAATAACAATAACTGAGATACTCTAAAATAATTTTAATACCTTTTCTTATGCAGAGCAGAAATAGAAGCCCAGATCCAACCAAAGCAGTAATAATGAGTGCTGCTCCAACAAAACGTCTGCTCTCAGTCTGGAGAATGCCATCAGCTGAATCTTCAAGAAAAACAAGTGAAGGATAAGATTCTACATAAYTCCATAAAATCCTCCCATTTTCTTTAATTTTTACTGTCTTATTTTTGCTATAAGCTGTTCAGACATGATCACAGCATTATAGATTGTGTCTAAGGGCAGGTGGTAATGGTGCACTTAACCACATTTTGTACACATAAAGGGGGAAAAAAGATAGAACATAATATTTGTACCCTGCATTTCATGTGATAGCACCTTTGATCTCATCACAATTTTGCTTGTCAAAGTGTTACATCTAGCATAGATTCCCATCAGGACTACAGGAAAAAACAAATTGAAAGAAGAGAGTCCCTTTCACCAGGTAATGCTCTGAATGCAAATGGTAAGTGGTCTCCTTTAATGACAGAGATTTTCTTGTTAAAACCAAGCTTGCCTACCGAAAGAATGACTTGGCTTTCTCACTCTAGCCTGCCTGTTTCAAGCCATTGACAGGCCCAAAAAATTGTGCCAGCATACGTGTTTCTAAAACTAGGTGTTGAYGAGGACCTGGGAAAGAACCTGACCAGGTAACAGTCTGACAAGCAGAAGTACTATTTTTGAGTTGGATCAGGTTTGCAGTCTGGTTGAAAACATATCAGGCTACAATGCAGAAAATAATAAGCTAAAGCTAGAGCAGCAGGGAGGCAGCCCTTGTTAAAATATCTAATAAGGAATTGTATTAGTCTTGTCCATTTATGTACTTTCCTTCAATCCAGATTTTATGAGGCAAAAATATCCGTGTACAATTAGTGAAATTTAAATATGGTCAAAGAGAAGGTTATGGTAGCAGGAAAAGTCCATATTGTTCAAGTTTATTTGAAAGTAATCATCAATAAAATAGAATGTTCTTCGAAGATCTGTTTAATTTATATGGGAGGGTTTCATTTCCAGGTGCTGGGTTACACATCTTCTAATTAAAGGAATTTTTTTAATATTTAACCTCAATTTTCAGATAATTGCAGATCACACAAAATTCTTGTCTTCAAATTCTGACCACATGAACATGTTAGTATGGTGGAAGTGTACATTAAYAACAAAAATTAACAACAGAGGTCTTTCTTTCTAGCTTTTTCAAAATTAGATAGGAAAGAGAAACAAATAATGGCCAGTTTGACTTGCAGAGAACGACGTTATCACCTTGAAATGTATTAGCATAAACAAAATTGAGAAATGTTACCTGCTATGTGTAAAATGGCAGATGTATTTTCTTGCAGCTCTTTATTCCAGAATGTACAGTAAAAAATCTCATCAATTCCACTTTTGATTGTAAGGGTACTTGTCACAAGGTACAACTGGTCACTTCCAGATTCATATCTTGTGTTTGCCTTATCAGACAAATCTTCATAGTCTCTGTTTTGCCAGATCACTTCAGCTTCTGGGTATCCTTCTGACTGACATGTCAACTTCCATTCATTGTGTCCTGYGCTCACTACTCCTGGGGTTATAATTCTGTAAGGGGCTAAACAATTTGGAAAATAGTTAATTACTAGKAGGAGGCTAGAAAAACAGCATGTATTAAATGCATGACACCTTTTGTTTTTCCCCAACCCTCAGGGTCAACTTTCAGCTTTGATTTTGAAAAATAAATAACACCATTGTGTCTGTAACTGCGGGTAAGGATTTATTACAATTTTGATGTGGTTTAGAAAACTCACTAGCTTTATGGTCCTTGTACTGTCTACATGATTTTGCAACCTCACAGGCATTAAGAATTAAAGGACATGGATTCAAACTAAAGAGAAAGGCCAAGTTATACAGCTACACAAGCACCATCGGAGAGCTCCTGTCTCAGGGGAGGTTTTTTTATGTGCTAATYCAAATATGTCTTACTTCAGGGTCTCCTCTGAAATCTTTTAAGAGTATCAGAGAGTATTGAATCTCTGATAGTGGCACACTCACCATTAACTTTCAGGTGGATTGTCTTRTAGTCAGCTCCCCCATACTCAATAAGACAGCGGTAATCGCCTGCATCTCTGAGCTTCACATCAGTGATCTGAAGGAGAGACTGTCCCAAGTTCAGATTCTCTTTCAACAATTTTATTCTTCCCTTAAAGTCACTATGCTGAGCTTTAAAGTCTTCCTCTCCTTTGAAAAGTACATAAACCTGCTTCAACTCATCTTTCTTTTCCCAGCTGACACCTAAGTCTTTAAACTTTAATTTCCCATTCACTGGAAATGTGCATTCCATGGTCACATTCTTCCCGTATTCCACAGTGTAGAGTGACTGAGGTGCTTCAACAGTGAATAAAGCTGAAAAATAAAATTTGGAAGAAAATTTAGTTTTCCAGTAATACACCTAATCTTTGAAGTCATGTCTTACCATATCCATAGGAGATTTTAAGGGCCAAAGTATCTGCTCTGTTCTGAAGAGCTAAACATTTTGGTATGTACTTGTCCAAATGTATGAAAAAACACAAGACATCTGCTTTGTGCACACACACAGTGCGATGCTGTACTAAAAACAGTGGACTGTGTATGCACAGCCCCTCATCTGTCGCTGTGAGAACACTGCCATGGCAACAGGCAGGTGGCAGTGCCTCTGATGGGAATGTTCTGTTTATACAAATGCCAGTTATTTTCACACAAAATGTTAAAAACACATGACAATTCCCAGGTCTGATGATGCCAATAAAAGCTTTTGTGTAATGCAAATGGTGCCTTGTTTGAAATGGTGTCTCTGCTGCAGCACTGTCAGGGATTTTACCTGGCCCCATATGAAAGCACTTGCACCTAGCTTAATGTAAAACCATCCTAAGACCTTTTTATTTAAAACATTAATGAAAAAACCTCAGACGYTAACACCTGAAGTAAAACTGGGGAAATTGACATTTCTGTGCTTATAATTGGAAAGAAAACATACTAAAACTATTCTACTGCTTCTTATGTCTTGGCTTCTTACCATTTAGGAAATGCCAGTAGAATAAAAATATGTACAAAAGCAAAGACCTTCCCATGATGTAGGTAGAACCTAAAATGATAAAATAATAGACAGATATAAATACATACTCATTTTCTGACTTGCACTCAAAAATATATTTTATAGTTGGTCCACAAAAAGAACTAGACAGAAGACACTGAATTCCACCCTAATCAAAACGTGGACAAGACTGCACCGAGCAGATAACCAGGTAGAAATCTTCCTGCATAGGTCCAGGAAGAACATCTTACTTTGGTTTAAACACCTGTCCTTGGTTATGGTGAAATAGACGCTTTATCATTATCTGTCAATTAGTAAATAAGCACTTACTAATACCCAATTGTTCCCCTAACTGTAGCAGGGAATGTTGCTCCTAGTAGGAGAGTGAAAAAAWTTTCTGTACTCAGTCACTGGAGGAAATATAATTTGGTTCTTCCCCACCTGTTTGCTTTACTTGCAAACATACCCTGCTTTTTTCACCCTGATTTCACAGTGCTTATCACAAGACTCACAAAGTTGCATACATCATGAAAACAATTCATGCAGTAATTAATCTCTTAGTAAGTATTCCCACAATAACAAGTATTTAACAATTTACACAATAGTGCCTTTGTAACACAGTGGCAAAACCAGTCAGTCTACWAGCAAAATCTATTCTCTTGAATTTTTGCTGCTTTACCTCTGAATATAAAAGTTATTTTGCTTTTCTGTCAGAAGTTTTTCCCTCTTTACTGAGRTAGGTTTTATACTCCTACACAACACTTTAACATTGTAGAACACTTATTAATGTCAACTCATACATTTAACCTTCACACACCCACTGCTTTTGGTAAGTCTGTCTTTCGAGTCAGAACAATACCAGTATCCAGTACTGCCATCATTTTTCAAATTACTGTTAAGAAAAGTTCAAACATTGTAACAGAAACCTTTCATGATTACAGAAAATGGTAGATTTTTTTCAGATAAAGTCCTAATTTTGGGTACCCAAACATCCACAAAAATAAGGGAAGTTTRGCTTTAACTGTTTTCCAGTGATACTACCAGAATTTGGATAAGAAATTAAACAGCTATAATACCCATGACTCTTCCTAACTGATGAAATTCTATCTTGGCTGACATTCTTCACCATTTTTATAAGTTGTTTTGTCCTTCTTCTCTGACTGTCAACTTTAAGATGGTAGTGAAACAACAGTATTGTCCTGAATTCATAACACATGTGCCTTTACAGTGTTGAGGCTTAAGGGAACTAGACTCCTCATCAGAAGTTGATTCAAGCTACTTCTTTCCTTCAGATTACTGCTGCCTGATCCCAATAGCTGATTTGCAGAAGGCAACACATATGGATCTCAGAAAGGGAGCCAATCTACTACTCTGTTCACAATGTAACTATGCTCTGAAAGCACATGCGAGAAAAATACAAAGAAGATTCTAAGGGTGAAGGATGCAATTCATTGATAAATCCTATGCTTCATAAAGTGGTTAGGTACCAAATTCATTCCTTAGGCACATGTGATGTCCTTGAAACCACTAGAAAACTGCAGCTTAATCCTGTGGGTCTCCAAGAGCTTCTGCAAATGTGTGTGCATCAGAATGTCTCCACCATGGTTCCACTGCTTGAGCAACAMACAGTCCAGAGCAACAATTAAAGTCCAAAGTAARGCTTCTCAAACAAGAYGGAGGCATACCAATCTCACAAATGTGGCGTGATCACACTTGCTCTGGAGATAAGCCTGCAGATGGACCAGCCACTGAGACTGATGGGTATTGTTGTACTCTCCCCATGTAAGAATGGCCAGACTTGCAGCRCACTCAGACTAAAAGACTTACTTTAGATTTTTTTTATTTTTTCTTTAAGTACAGGCTGTAGACAGCTTGGAACAAAGTACTTTGTTTGAAATAGTACACTGCTTGGAACAAAGAGCATGTGCACTACAGTCAGGATACTGAAAGATACCCATATTTGGGCATGCAACCCTTATCCACCTTTTTGACAGGAAATCTGATAGTTGGCGTGATCTCCAGGAGAGGTGTTCTGATTTACTCCTGGAAGACRGATGACACCAAGTTAACTTCTATAGCTCTAAGACCCATATTTATGGGGGGCTCTAAGACCCCTTATTTATGTCCTGCAATTGCTGATTTTATTAGCATGCTTTCTCCCACTGTAGAGAAAAASAGGCTTTACAATACACAAAAGAAGTATGAGTTTTACTTACAAATTTCTTCAAGACTGAGAAAGTCTGCTGCTATATTCAATTTTTCACTTTCAGAGAGAGAAAAAAAAAAAAGTAGATCCAAGTCAAATCCAGATGGTGGAAAATCAGGGTGCATGAAACAAAGAAAACCACTGCAATAATAATTATAGAACCTTCATCCTGTTTTACCCTGAGCTGAAGGATCCTCTGCATCAGTTAAAGCAGTTTGAGACCTTGATGCAAATCAAAGTCCTTTACTAAAGCTATCTGCTTACTGTTTTTCTTACAAAACCTACCACAATACTCCTTCTCTCYTCCTGTGAGCTTCTGGCATCCGTGGAAGATAGTTTTTTTTAATTGCAAAATATATTCACTGTGCAAAAATGCTCTTCAGTACTGCTGCTGCATGTTTCCCCCACAATCAAATGAAGAGTATAGGAAAACCAGAACTATTTGTCAAAAGACTTCATGTGACAAATGTTGATGTMAGTCCACCCACTTCTTTAGAAAACTTCCCTATTATTGGAAAGTTCCTCAGTAGGGAAAATTCTCTATTACTAACAGTGGTTCACTGTAACCAGAAGCATAAATGTTGCAAAAATTAGAACATAAAATACCACAGGCATTTTGAGAAACATGCTATCCAGTCAAAGTTATGTGTGACTAGCAGTCCTTGGGACACCAGTCGTAAGTGTTCATCCAAGTACACAAATTCTAGAACCCTATGGTATTAATCTCAAACATTGACAAGCAGCTGCTAACTATGACTAGAACTATCTACACGACCTATTTATGTCTGTAAAGATCATAGGAATAGGAATTATGTTGGAATCATGGGAAGAGCATTTCCTACCCTCCTCTGGTAAGGACCAGATAAGATATTCTCTTTCCAAGACTGGGACTTGCCTTGCTACTGTGTAGTGAAAGAAAAGTTCTTAATCCTATGCACTAAGTTAGCAAAAGATACAGAGCACTGTCTTTTAAATACTTTTGATTCTAGAAGTAAGAGTACAGAAAAAAAAAAAAAACCAACAACAAGTATTAGAAGAAAAAGGTTGTACTCACATTAACTTGTGGACTGTAGTGGGAGAAACTGGTCAACAGCAGAAAATACAACTTTACACCTATATTTTTCAATGTAAAGTCATCCACTTAAGTTGTCTTCACATACACCGGAAAAGGATTGAGATTCTTGGAAGCGTTAAAATATGGTGAAATGTCCACTTAAAATTTTTCAGTGTTTTCTTCTCTCCACTTGACAGCCTGCTCACAGTATCTGTCAAGGAAGCAAAAACACATAATGCACAAAACTGGTTAAGGTTAACGTTTTTACTTGATGTGTGAGATGAGCATGGAAACAGTGGTATATAAAACAGTTCAACGTAACATTTAGGTTCTAATAACCTGAAACTACCTTAGGAGGTTGAGGGGGTGGATATAGGCAGTAGGTGAGATGGATGAATGTTAATTTCCACTGATTTTTTTTTCTCTGCTTTTAAAAATAGGCTAAATGGTATAGTGCCAGTAAAGGGGGAAAAAAAAAAAAAAAAAAAAAAAAAAAAAAAAAAAAAAAAAAAAAAAAAAAAAAAAAAAAAGGTGCAACAGAGAGAAACTGAAACTTATTGGTAAAATTCTGTGAGATCTACCGCTGATGTAGCAACCTTTCACGGTTGTCAGGAAATTAGTTTCCGCTTTCTCATTGCTTGCCTCGAGGTCAGGGTTGCATTTTCTATGTAAATGTTTAGTAGCGAATAAAAGACCAGRACAGATGGGATTTGGGTTGGCTGGGTTTCTTTTTGTTCCTGTTTAATTTTGTTGTATACACACATACTCYTATGTATACACGAACATATACACAACTACATGCACACAAACACATTTTACTTCACAGTTCTATACTGCGGTGGTGGGGTTTGGATTTGGGKTTTTTTTCACCTGTTGCGCAACAAGTTTCCCAGGAGCCTATCTCAGTCCTGTCTGTCACCGGGCATTCCCAAAGAGCGCATTCTCTCAGGGAGAACGCTCCCGGACAGGCTCCGGCGGCGGCCTCGGCACAGAACGAGATCGGTGCCGCACCGGGATGGGGTTCCCGCTGCCGCCAACCCCGCTCCTTGCAGAGCTGCGCTCCGGCTCCGCCTGCCCGGCTGCTCCTCTC